CAACATGATATATAGCTGCGGCCTTTCTAAGACTTAATTTTGGGTCATTCTGGAGGGCCTGAAGGGCAAGAATAATCTTAGCTTCATTTGGAGACTCTGGCATATTGGATTGTTGAGAAATATCTGATTGAAAAGTGATAGTGTAGGTTGAGGGATTTTTGGAGCACTCGCTTGTCTGGAGCACTCGCTTATCATGCACGTTAGTGGCGAGAGAGATTGAAGATTGAGTTGAGACAAGCTTTGGCGAAAAAGGATGTTGGGAGTCAAAGCTCCCGGGCGCTGAGAGAACAACTACTGATGTCTGAACATTGACCACAAAGTAAGAGATACAGTGAGCAGGCAAAAAGAAACCCAATCAGATGGACTCACGGGGAATTGAACCCCGGACCTTTCCCAAGCGTCGATTTAAAGATGCGAAGGGAAAATCATACCCCTAGACCATAAGCCCTATCATTGGTTAATGATTCGTTGAGGGACAGATGCTGGAAAGCGTCTATGATTTGAATCTAGACAGACACGATTGTCGCGTTGGAACCAGTAATCATTATTATGAGAAAACGAGGGAATTATTACTCCGTCAGTTTATGGGACATTTACTCTGTAGTTGAATTTTAAATTGGCAAACAATGTTTAAGCGAAAATGTCTGGAACATCATGCTGATCGATCGAGATTCGAGATCCTCAGAAAAGCAAGTCTCCATGATGCTACGTAGCACAACAACACAAAGTCTTATCATTTGTCTTGGAGCGAGTAATGTCTGGCACGCATCAATCACACAACTCCAGTACCAAGCGAAGCAAATACGAATAATCCACGTCATGAGTATAAGACTTAAAGCACAAGCACCAAGTATCTACTCGCTCTCCCTCACATCTCAAACAATACCGCAGCGTCGATGAGTTGTCCAAATATCATCCAGGTGTAGGGTGGTTCACCAAACATGGAGATGCCTGCACTCATGGTCTCTGCACAGGAATAATAAGCTTAAAAATTAACAGAATCCTGATTTAGAAAACAAGGGTTCACAAGCCAAGAGATTTACTCTCCAGAGTATATGCCAAGCTGTCTTGTCAGCCTGTGGTTCAGTGTAGATGAAACGGCTATCCTTGTCTTTATCTGGAGAAGCTGTGATGTAATTATTGCGGGTGGTAATCTAGTGGCGTTGCCTGGTGGATTAGTGATTACAGATGAAGAGGTAGTAGAGACGCGTAGAATCCGTAATATCACGTTATCTCCGTGGCAGTACCAAAATGTCTGATGCATCAGCAGACTATTCTCACAGTCATCATGAATAATGCTTTGTTATATTCCCGCGGATATACACACTTTTTCTACAAAAACAGAGGCTCATTATGGATATCGCGGATGTCCCGGCACTAACTGACCCCTGGGCGCCAAACCTTTTTATCGGGGCTGGAGATTACTGGCCATAGCGGCATCAACCTCTGACGTAGGGCGACCCACTCCGGCACGACCTGATTAACGACCTTTACGTAGGAGGTGCCCCTACAAGACGCTACGGCTCAACTAAACTTTTCTTGTTTTGAGTGAAAATGGCTGATCTTCACTGACAAGCGGTTAATCAAGGCCGGGAAACTAAACCCAAACTGCTCATGTTGTGACGACTGACTAATTCCAGCCTCTACCACTCCAGTTCAGTATCACTACAAGTTTAACTTTGTTTTCTCACCTCATCTTGACTCTCCCTTTTTTTTAATACTCTCTCCCTTCTACCATGCATCTTCATGGGCATGGCTTCCAATAATAATCGCCTTCAGCCCTCGGGCCATCTCAACGTAACGGGCCATTTCAACAACCGCCGCTCTCCGAGTCCCTCGTCCTCACGCCCCGTGCCTCCCGATCCCGGAAGTCCAGGCCCCGTCGAAGAAACGGCATCGGATTACTTCAACCCACTCAGCCAAGCGCCCTCAGCACAATCGCAGACATCGCTATCGTCGTTCCCGCGCTTTCCATCGCAGACGTCCCTCTCGGCATTTCCATCCTATCAAGAATCATCGAATTATCCACAGCAGACGAGACGAAGACCGCCGGTCGATCAGGCTAGACAGCCTAGTATCCGCATCCGCCGAAATTCAAACGGGTCGGTCTATTCGAATCATAGTGTGACGAGCCAGTTTGATGGGTTCAGCGATGATGGGAGACCCAGGAGCATCTCGCAGCCTGAGCGCGCGAGGGTCTCGGATGGGCTTGCTCGTCATTCCAGGAGGGTTCCGCAGGTGGCGATGCCGCGACTTACAGAGGAGGGAGGCAGACCGAGTCTGGCTGAGCTAGGGATCAACGATGACCAGTCTGCTCCTCTGTCGCCGACGGGTTCGCTTCCCGAGGAGAACACGAATGGGAGGGGCGGACTTGGTCGGCTGCGGCGGGCGAGTCGCTTCTTCTGGCCTGGGCATCGTCGGCAATCTGGCGAGGATCAAATGGCTGTACCTATGGGGCAGCGAGATGACGATCGTCG